GGGTATCTTTTTGGAGGCCAGTTCTGGAATGAACTCTGCTTGGATTGGGAGGGTGGCAACGTTAAACCCGCGGTGTAGTCGAGGCGGGGCTGAGGTTTGCAGCCGGGTCTGTGCCTCTGCCTGGGGCAGAGCGTTAGCGCTGGTGGAAGCCACGCTCGGGGTGGAAGCCACGCTCGGGGTCGAAGCCCGCTGACTTGCACCCTCACACAAGCAGCGCCGCTTGATGGGTGTCGCCTTCAGATCCGTCTCTGTTGGTAGAGATGCCCGTGCTTTTCACTGCCTGTCGTTTTGAAGGAGGCAGAACGACTGTGTAAAGGCAAACTGCAGTTATCCTATCTTGTGAGAACCAGGTTTATCTAACAGTCTGGGGGTCAGGTGACCTGTGGTTTATTTTCAGTTCCACTGCTGACCAGCTCTAAGACCCTGATTTAGGTACGTCCTGTATTTCTTTTTCCTTCCCCCCCCTATTTCTGTTTCCTTCCCCATCTTTTGTTGTTTTCAGACACAAACTGTTTAGGGAAGCATCTTTCTATCTATTTGTGTAAACCCCATATTGGTTATGGCAAATGAGGTAGCAGATAATGGATACCAGCTTCATAACGTAAGCATGGTGTATTTGTGTCGGTCGGAAGCGCTGCAGTCTCTGAGGTGGTGGCCTATTAATCTGTTCCAGAAAACGGCACGCTAAGCAACTACGTAGGAAAATTTTATGGGCACTTAGTTTGTCCCTTTGCTTAAAAGAGAAGATTAGAATGAATACCCTCATGTTTCTATAAATGTAGTAAGCAACTTGGGTGGGTGGCCAGGTTTTAAAACACAGCATATGGATGCTGTCTAAAAAAGAACTGCGTTTTGCCATGAAGCTTCATTTTTAGGTTGAGAGGCATAAGGTGCTGCAAACAGACAGTATTTGTGAATGAATCTTCTGATTCTTCTTCATTCCTACTCCTTCACCAGAACCGTTTATTGGTAGCAAACTTGGAGCTTGTGTTTTTGAAGAATATGCTACAGTCGCCGTTTTCTTTCAGAGAGGAAAGTAGGCTACAAGAGTTGTGTGCTCTGAGACTGATGCACTGTGTCGTGCTTCCAGTGAGGAAGCACGAGCTACTGCCAGTTTAACCCCTAATGTAGAAAGAGCGTCAATTCTGTCTGCTAGATGTCTGAACTGCAGTACTTGAAATGGGACTATGCACGGCCAGCATAGGCTACGTGCCCTTTGCTACGATGCCTCTCTGCCATGCTGGCAAGACATTTTCATGTATCTTGGAGGCATCTTGTCTTCCTGCTGGTGGCCAAGACAGTAGTAACCAGCTGCCATCCCTGACAGATGTTATCCTCTTGAATTGAGTGACCTGTTCATATTGCAGATCCAGATAAGAATTTTTTTACGTGGCATCCGCCTGGCTCCACTGAAAATAAGGGATCTGCCATGTGCATGGTATTCCTATTCACATCTCATACTTCTGTGCCCTACTTATCACTCTTCCAGCATTTGTTGTCCCTTGTCTTTGGCTGTTTACTTGTCCCCTTTGCATCTGTCAGAATGGGTGTTTTGTTCTGGCTGGCCCATGGTTTTGTAGGTTTTAAAGGGGGTGTTGTCTCCGGTCAACACTAAAAATAAAATGTAAAAAGGTAAAATGTAAAAATACAGTTTTAGACTAATTAGAACATGGGATTGTTTCTCTTTTTTTGCTTTAAGTTAAATTTGCAGCAAGACTGTGTCTCTTTAAGCCAAGCTTACTTCTAACTGAATATACCGCAGAAAATTCTTTATGCCTTGCCTCTCTCGTAGCTCCATTTTTTGTCAGTTGGATAACTGTAAGCATGCTAGTTTTCAATTTTGTAAGACTATGAAATTTACTGGAAGATATTTTTACCCAGCCCTACAAGCATGGGTCCTGATAAAGTCATATACATGAGCTATCCCGCTGGAAATGAATGAATCGCCAACAGTGAGGAGGTTAATGTACACTTTCTTTTTGAACTTTGCCGTTTTTCTGCACATGAAGTCAGACAGAAAGAGACTCACTTGTCAAAAAGGCACATGAATTTGATGGGTGTAGTGGGAAAGGTGAACTCTTAGATGGTAGTCCAGCATGTGTGTACAAAATCTGAGGATACTATTTATGGTTTTCCCAGAATCATTTATGTCACTGTAGCTTAGGTAATTTTTTTCTATCTCAATTCATCACATTCTTAATGTAGTAAAAATACCACACTTTGTTTTGTTAGATTTGAAACTCTAAATTGAGGTTTCCCTCATGTGACTGCAAATTTCTCTGTAGGGGATTCAGAAAGAAGCATACTTCCTTAAGTCTTTACTGTAGCCCAGTAAGAAATTTGTCTTGCCAGTGTGCTTTCTGTTAGATTGTTTAATGCAGCATTGATACTTCCAAATATACCAATAGTAAGTAAAAATAATTTGCTTGTAATACTTAGTGAGAGGGGTCATCAGTGCAGAACTCTGTTATTGCAGCAGAAGTTTCCAATCAAGTGGAGAATAATGTGAAAGCAAACAAAAGGAAACTCCTAGAGAGTTAGTGTGTCATATTTATAGCTTCTTTGGAAGCAAATGTTGGCTATAAGTACTTTGGATTTCAGTAATATATTACTGTTCTTTTATTTATGAAAGATTTTGGTTGTACCACTAAGATAATGACTAATGATAATGTGAAAATTAATTTATTATTTGAAATTCTAAAATAGAATTGTGTATATGATGCACTGCATGATAAGGAGAAAAAAAGTTTCAACTCTTGGATTTAGGCCCCTTCTTCCCTGCCTTTTAAGTGCTGTAAATTCATTAGTCATGTAGTCATTTCATGAGACTTACTTTAACGTAAAATATGTACTTTTCAAGTGTCTAAGCTCTGGATTGTCTTCGGGCATTAAAAGCTTTTTACAATTGCAGAAATATTCAACTACTTGGGTCCAGTCTTTATTGTCAATAGAACTGTAATTGCATCGTATCCACTAATTGTACCTCATTCAGCTCTCACAGCCATTATTTAATATCCTCTGTCTAATTCTGTGGGGGGAGGTTGGGTTATTTTAAAGATGATCTTCCAGAAAAAAGTTGGAGGAGGTCCCTTCTCATGGGGTACCTAAAGCTGAAGATGTGTCAGAAATGCCTCCTGTGGTATCACAGTTTTCTGAAAGAGGGAACTTTTTGTCATCAGGGTTTTAAAAATTTAAAGGAGGTTGGCTAGGGTTTATTTTAGGGAGGGCCATTGAATGGCTGAGTCAACAGACTGTGGCTCTTGAAGCAGGACCTGCAACAGCTTGTTCTGCCATGGCTGAAGTCTGGACTAAGGACCGGTTTGGTCTGGATTGTGCAGCTCCACGGTCTCCCCGGTCTCATCTCGCACATCTTCTTCAGTCTCAGCTCTGGTTGAAGAAGCTCTGTAATGGCTGCAGACTTCATGACAACCCAGCTAAAATCTTCCATTGAGTTCTGGCTGCTTCCATGGTGTATTTTAGGAATGTGAACTAGCGTGGTATCATGTAAATACAGAGATCATTCGTGCAGTTTCTGGAACATGACTGCAGTGCTTGCTTTGAGCAAAATAAGCAAATAATTCCTACAATTCAAGAGACAGTATCAGAAAACTGGGAAATCTAGGGAGAGAAATTAAATCTTAGTTTCCTAGTAGATGGTGCTTCTGATAGTACAAAAATACCAACAAACAGCAGCCCTCGATTGCTGTCTCCTTGTGAGCAGCTTGGACCTGTCACTTGACCTAAATGTAGGCATCCTCCATCCTGCAATGAGTTTGGTCGATCCTATCATATGAACAAGCACTTCTTCACAAGGCCTGGGGCGGTTTGCGGAAGATGAAGGGTATTTCATTCACTTCATTTTACAAGCACTAACTCATTGGTGCCTGCGTGTGAGTCCTGCTGCAGAAGCTTCCTTTGGGTACACAATGGAGGAGAGGCTGCAGGGGTTCTCAAGCAGCATCTCCTGGGCCAACAGACCTGCCCCATTACTTACTCTCTCTGCAGATCTGAGGGGCCTTTGGGAGCAGAAATAGATGGTGGTTTGAATGAATTGTTTTGGCTGTGAGATAGGCACCCCACTGTAGATAAATCTGCCCTCCTGGTATTTTGCATCGTGAATTCTGTTCCTTCTCAGGAACTGAAAGCACAACACCAAGGTGTTGGAGGCAACATTTCTACCAAATGGCAAGTCCTGGTTTGCATCTTAGCAAAAACTGAGTAACCAGATAAACCGTTTTTTGTACTGCACTGGATCTTGGTGGATTTCATTATGCAGTGGTCTAGTCCTCTGCTGATTTCAGCCAGCCAAGCACGTTTTGGAGTTGGGGTGATTCAGACTGAATTGCCAGCTCTCTGCAAACCCAACCTGTCTGTCATTTTGGTACGTTTAAAGCAGTGTTGCGACACTCAGCTTACCACAGTCAGACTTTTTGTATTTGGTAAGAAGTGAAGGTGTGGATGTATGGGGGTTTTGTTGTTTTTTTGGGGTTTTTTCCTTCTCCTTGCTGTTTACCTTTGGTGTACTGTTTGTAAGGAACAGCTAGTAATTTCTTGTGGTAATTCACAGAGTTAATTAGCAAAGCTGTGAGTGACTGCATCTTCATTGCAAGTTAGGGACCTTTATTGTCCCTGTATGCACAGCCAGGCAAAGTTTGCCTAAGGACTGCGTTTAATATTTGTAAAAGAAAGGAGCCAGCAGTAAGTGTAAACTTCAGGCTATAAGGTACCATGTTTGAAAGAAGCAGACTAGAATGTCTTTTTAGTTCTAATTTGACCAGTTTCCTGAAGAGCTTAACTTGTGTTGAGTGGAGCAGCAGAGATGAGGATCTTGCTTTGACACCCATTGCTTGCAATTGGTGAGATAGGAAAATGCTGGTTTTCCTCTTCCTGTTCTCAGAAGACCAGGGACGGGTAAGGGATCTGAGTGTATGTTTAGAGACAGAGCCAAGTGATTTGCAAATATCTTATCTTGAGTTACTTGCGCTTTTTGTGGCCTATGTTGTATGGAAGATTAAATCTGCTTTTTGAATAAACAAATATATTCTTAAACAAGCACATGGTGTCACTTTCGATTATGTCAGTAGTAATCCAGTGAGGACACAGAACTAAATCGGTACACTCGGATTGTCCAGTAGCAAAATTAGTTTAAGATAATTGAGGTTGTGGGCTTGACACTTGGAGTGTATCTGTAGACATTGTATTGAGAAAATCTAAGCTGGAGAATTTGCTTTCTATGTAAGATCACAAGAGAGCTATTTTTTCCTGCCTGAGATCTGAGGATCTCCCTCCTTAGCAACAAAATTTTCCACTAAAGAGGAGTTGATGGAGAAATAATGCATAACAGAAAGTATAAAATAGTGTTGCTTTCTGTCCAAATGAGAGTGAATGGTTGACAACTTGTGTTTGTTTGTTCTTAAGAAGCTGTTAAAGCTGCTCTTCCAACATCCCTACATGCTAGAGAACACTGAGAAAAAAGTAAAATGTGGTATGGCCCTTTGAAACTAAACAGCTGAGTCTCTTCTGCTTTGTTTGCTGGTATGAATTTTTGTGGCCATCACTAATTTTTCTAAAGGCTTGTTTAAAGTCTGTCATACAGAGTTGCTGTTTCATCAGGCTGGGCTATGTTGTGGAAACATGCACATTGCTGTCTATGTGATTTTTCTTCTCTGTGATCTTTGGCTTCAGAGCACTGGTCACCCTGCTGCAGGGCACACCTGGGTAGCTTTGGGTCAGGTGCCTGTACCGGTAAATGTATTGTTTCCCTTGTGGAAGCAGTTGTTACAGCTCTATTGCATCTCCATCACAAAGCCAGTAGTATTCGTGTTAATTCAGCTAATAGGTGATAATCTAAAAATACGGCAAAAGGGACCTTCCTCAATTAGGACCTTTGGGAAAATTTGATAAAACTTTTCTATTAAGGTACCTTGAGAAGAAGTCGAATCACCAAAAGGAATCTTCTAGAGAACTCTTAAGGGGTTTTTAATTCATTCTGTTGCATTTAATCATGGCTATTATTTCCAAAGTCTTCAGCAAGTCTTAAAATATTTCTGGTTTTCTATCACAGCAGCACTGGGGAGCTAATACGAAATTTTTGTAGTGGCTCTTAACTCAAAATTACAACTAGCTTTTATATTGCATTTGAATAAATTGTAGAGAGGTAAAATACATTTACTTTTTTTGCTCAACTTAAATCTTTATTCATGCCTTAAAACATGTTTGAATAATTTATTTGCCAAGTTAATATACTGCATGAATTTTGCAGAGGATGGCTTCTGAAAATGCATACCTGCAGTCTGGCAAAAATCAAGCAGGTGAATTGAGGATAATGAGTATGGATTTCAGTAAAAATAGAGAAAAAGGTGATGGACTGACTGGGTGGGAAGCATTGCCAGTCTGCTATATTGAGAAAAATAATTGGCATCTACTGGAAATAAGTTTAATTATATCTCTTTCTGGTTTTTTTAAGAGATGAAATTGGATTAATACCCTACCCTGAAGCCAGGTATAACCGGAGCCCTATCGTCCTGGTAGAAAACAAGCTTGGTGTGGAGAGCTGGTGTGTCGAGTTTCTTTTGCCATATGTCCACAATAAACTTCTCCTCTACAGACAAAGAAAGCAATGGCTGAACAAAGATGGTAAGTTACACAGTTGGAGAATAGTATCTTACGTGATTCTTACTGTACATTTTTTATTTATCATAGAATCATTTAGGTTGGAAAAGACCCTTAAGATCATCAAGTCTAACTGTTAACCAAATGCTGCCAAGTCCACCACTAAACCATGTCCCTAAGCACCTCATCTACCTGTCTTCTAAATACCTCCAGGGATGGGGACTCAGCCACATCCCTGGGCAACCCATTCCAATGCTTGACAACCCTTTCAGTGAAGAAATTTTTCCTAATATCTAATCTAAACCTCCTGTGATGCAACTTGAGGCCATTTCCTCTTGTCCTATCACTTGTTCCTTGGAGCAAGAGACCAACACCCACCACACTACACCCTCCTTTCAGGTAGCTGTAGAGGGTGATAAGGTCCCCCCCAGCCTTCTTTACTGCAGGCTTAACAACCCCAGTTCCCTCAGCCATTACTTGGGCTCCAGACCCCTCAACAGCTTCGTTGCCCTTCTCTGGACATGTTCCAGCACCTCAATGTCCTTCTTGTAGTGAGGGGCCCAAAACCAAACACAGTGTTTGAGGTGCAGCCTCACCAGTGCTGAGTACAGGGGCATGATCACTTCCCTACTCCTGCTGGTCACACTGTTCCTGATACAAGCCAGGATGCTCTTGGTCTTCTTTGTCACCTGGGCACACTGCTGGCTCATATTCAGTTATCTGTCAATGAATACCCCTAGGTCCTTTCCTGCTAAGCAGCTTTCCAGCCATTCTTCCCCCAGTGCAGGACCCGACACTTTGCCTTGTTGAACCTCATACAGCTGACCTCAGCCCATCGATCCAGCCTGTCCAGACCCTCTGTAGAGCCTTCCTGCTGTCAAGCTGATTGACACACCCACCCAACTTGGTGTTGTCTGCAAACTTTCTGAGGGTGCCCTCAGTCCCCTCATCCAGATCACTTATGTTTTTTGACACTACACTGGCCCTTCTTAAAGCCAGTTCAGCGTGATCTGAAAGAACTGAGTGTTACTGGTGGGGTAGGCAGGCTTTGGATTGTGCATCTTGGCAACCTAAACAAGTTGTAGGGTTGCTTAGTTGAAAATGTAAATCCTTTATCTCTTGTGCAAGCTGGAAGGGTTAGAGGGAGATGATTTATTTTGGTGAGCAATTTAGGGAAGTGATGTTAATCTTTACAGAAGGAATTTTGTCCTGCTTTCCTGAGTCAGAAGGAAAAATGTGGTGATGTGTGGATCTAAAGTAAGAAACAAGTGCAGTGTTTTTCAGACGTAGGGGCACAAGAAATCATTAGTCCATACAGCTTGGTTTGTGAGGTGTATTTTGATAATGCTGCAGATCTTCTGCTGGAAGACTTTCCGTTTCAGTCTCATGTGTTACAGAAGAGTCTTCCCCAGAAATTGCCAGACAAACAAAAACTTGTTGTTTCAAGCCAAAATACAAACCACTGAGATTTGTGTCACTCTTGCACTGGGAGTCTGGAGACCACTGATTGCTGTTAGCTAAAGGGCAGCTGGGTGCTGTTGTGCTGGCAGCCTGCTCCATTCACCCGGGTCCAGGCGCTTTGTTGTGGTGACACTGTGGCATGTACCTATTCTGCCAGGATGGTACAGTGTGCTGACTGCTTGAGGAGTGTCTCTGCTTCCCTGCTGGTTGAAGCCATGCAAATCTTTCCTCTCAAAATGCAGTTTATAAAACTGTGTTGGCAAATACTGCAGTGGCATGAAGTTGAGGTTACTTCCTGTTTGTTGAGATTTGTTTGGTTTTACTCTTTTGCAAACAAAACTCCATTCTCCTCTGTTTCTTCAGTTACAAAAGTCAGTTTAAAATGTGTGAGAAGAGGTAATCTGCAGCGTTTTCATGTCTATTGAGGCTTGCGTTACTACTGTAAAACATGATCAGGACCTCCATGCTAATAACTTGTTTGACAACCAAGATACAGCTTACAAGATTTGTTATGTTTTACCATAATTGAGTTTCACATTTCACATAGGATATTTTAGCATAAACTGAACTGCAGTGGTGGAGGGAGTGAAGGCAGAAGTCTTTCCCAGGTGGACTTCCAAAATTGTCTCTCATGTGGCATAAGTAGGCATACTCTATCAAGAGAAGTTACGTCTTCTATGCTTTTGAAATATCTTCAAGGATTTTCCTCCAAATTCCTTTTTGTGGACAAAAGTGCATGCTTGGAATTTGGCAAGGTAGTTGTTCTCTTCTGAATGTAGTAAAGGGATAGATTTGTTTATTACTGCTGCAAATCTCAATTGCATATTCTGTTGATGCTTGTAATAAACAGTGACTGCATATATAGTCTGTTGTTACCTCTCTTCTGTTGTTGGAATTACTGTAAGCCATTTTAAATAGAACAGAAGAAAAGCAAGGTGCTGATTCGAGCGTCTGCTTTCAGATGTGATGTCTGATATTTTTCTGGCAGGATCCTGGAAGAAGGAAGTCAGACATTGATAGCTTCCTCTGACAGATGTTTAATTTACTTATGGTTTCTTTTGCATACTTGGGATCCAGAATCACGACTACTTCTCTTGCTGTTGTTCCAGTTTAGAACTCCTAATTTACAATATCTTGTTATCCTTTCTCAAATATTTTTTTAATTTATGCATGCATATTGTTTGTATTATGACAAGATGGTTTCTGAAATTGCTATAAACTTCCTCTCTTTTTATGCAAAGTGTTGTTGTGCATAGTCCCAGAACATCCTTTGCATAGATGTGTGTTTCCACTTCTACAACACTCTTCTGAAATGCACATCTTTATGTGATACAGCCATAAAGAAAATGAGCTAAAAACATACTTTCATGTTTGTCCTTTTGTAGCTGGGGAGACTTATGTACAAAAGGGCATTTATATTGTGAGCACCTATGATGCTATGGCTTGCTTGAAACGTATCCAGCAGAAAGTACTTTCAAATTGTAAATAAAAGCTCGTGGTGTTTGTTATTGACACAGAGAAAACTAGCTGGCAACTACTATGATTGTGTGCCAGATCTGTCATAAAACATTATCTTGAAAAGCAGCTCAGAGGTTACTAAAATTGTGTCATTTGACATCTCTGGCTCAGAATCCACATTTCATGAAATCTTCATCTGTTACTTGTTGCAAAAAGCATCAAAGAACTGTGACATGAAAGAACTGGGTATTGCTTTGAGATTTTCCTTTTATATGCTCCCTTCCTTTGATAGCGTTCAGGATGCAGTGAACCTCTGTAATGGGAGAACGGTCAAAATGGTAGATAAGTTTCTGCTGGGCTTGATGTAGCGCTGTTCTGGCCAGCATTTGACATTACCAGAATAGCCATGTTAACTGGAAATCATCATTTAGTAGGATAAACGAACTGTATTGTTTTAAGAGGAGCCATGCAGACTATGAAAACCGTTTCTAAAAAGTATTCAAAAGACTGAACTTGGTCATAATAAGCTTTTGCTTAACACGCCTTATCACCCATAGCATGTACAGTGGTAGTACCTAATAATTACTGAAACCATTGTTGTATTTAGAAAATCCAGCACTCAAAAGTTCAGAATTTGTTATGACTTAATTCAGAACTGCCTCTAATCCTGTTCTTTGTTGCAGCATTTTGCTGCATCTCTACTTTTCTTCTTATCCTGCACTGCACAATTTCATTTACCTTTCCCTCCTCTACAGCAAACACCCTTTTGCTCCCTTCCCAGGGAGGAAAAAGTCCTGCAGGAATCTCCTTTATTGCACAGTCCTGCTGCATCAGTACTTAAAATGATTGAGCGTTGGAGCCTTTAGATGCAGCCCGCTGACCCCTTGGCAGAATGATAAGCAGCTGAAAGTAAAGTTCACCATGAGAAGTGTGAATCACCTAGATTTGCTGCGCTGAACTCTTCATAGTATGTTTCAAAAATTTGCTAGCAGTCTAGATTAAATGTAATTTAAAGCAAGTTTAAAATATAGGTGTGACTTTTGTCTAGGGCAGAAGCTAGTATTAAAGTTTTTGGGGGTTGGTGGTGTTTTTTGTTGTTGGTTCGTAGTAGGTCCTGTGAATTTGATGTAAAAAAGATTTATGTTACCTTGGAAGAGTTACTATTAGCTCTTGGCCTAATGCATTTTGAAAGGCAATTTGTGTGTATTATTTATGACACAAGGTAATACTAGTAGAATAATCAGAGCATTTGTATATTTGTGATGCGTAAAATCGAGAGATTTTAAAAATACAGAGTAACTATTAATATTTTGAGAAGATAAAATGGAAAATCTGCATGAAACGATGACAGCTCACGATTTTTACTATAGATGCTTATAAAACTGGTATTTTGTTAAATGTTGCCAATGAAGTTTTTGAATGTAAAATTGAAACAGTAGCCAGCAAAACACTTAGTAGGCGTTTAATTTTACATTGTTTGTAAATTGAATGTTTCAGCTGGGCAATTCATCTGTCTAAAATTAAATGGGTGTTGAAGTGCTTTACTGGTCAGCGCTTGGGTAGGTCAGAGAAAAAGCTTTGTATATTTAGGCAGCAAATTAGGAAGAAGCTTTGCGCATATGAGAAATACTCATTCCCTGGCAACAAAGAGGGATTTAAAGGGAAGTCTTTCATTAAAGGGGGGGAAAAAAAAGTCAACTAAACCTCATGAAAATAGAAAGTTAAGTTAGTTCCTTGAGGTAATTTTTAAAATACCACCGTAACAGCTCAGTCAAGAATTGATGGAGTACACTAAAGAATTCGCCACCCACTCCACCCCTGCATTATATGAGGGCATAACATGTTCCTCAGGAACATCTTGGGAAACGCAAAATTACTTTGTTGGACATGAATGAACGAGTAGTTATACAATAATATACAAAGGTATTCCACCTTTTGACCCACTTAAACATTAACTTCTCTCAAACTCTTGGTGCAGAGATACATGAAGCCACATTCCTTCGCATTTTGAATTAATATGCTCCATTATTCTTGCATTTCGTCGGTGACTTTTTAAAATTTCATTTTACAGTCATGTTAACTGCACTAACCAAAGATCTAGGTCCATAAGATACCCTCTTTTTCCTTTTACTTTTTTTTGTCTCCTTAAAAAGTGATGAAGTGCCTACCATTTGCTGGAAATCACCTGGAGTACAACCTATTTAGTATGTTAAATGCAGGGTGATTAGGGGAGAGTGTAGCCAAAATTTCTTGGCAGTAAAAGCCTGTATAGTCATATTCAGTTTTGAAGCAAGTTTCTTCTTCTTGCTCAGTTGCAAAATTGTCCTGTAAATTTAAGAATTGTGATTGCAGGACAGGTTAACTGATCTGATGCTGTGTCTCCTGAGAGCAGAGGTTAAGGGAGCCAATGTGGTGAAAGTCCTTAGTATCTCAAGCTTAAATGGAGATGCCTCATAAATCCCCACTCTTACCCTGGTGGGACTCAAGACTGCTCGAATGGTGCAGTGGAGTGCAAAGAGGAAGGGAAAGACTTGGTTACGATGAAATTACTCTTCCATTCTCAGCAACTGTATACCTCAGTCTTGTTTTTACAACGTTGTTAAAAAGAAGTGTAATACATGAATCTACTGTCGCTGCAGTGCTTAAATGCAGGGATGCAAACAAATGTTCTATTTGTTCCTTTTTTAGTGAATTAGTTTTAAAACCTCGGTCTGAAGCAAGGCTGTCACTTCAGGATGTATTTAAAGTGGGTTTTGTGCATTTAGGTAGTGGAGTTATTTTGTGATCCTAATTCATGGTTATGGTGTTTCATTTTCCTAGTTACAGGATTTTTATAGTGTGTGTATTTTTTGTAACGGTATAGTATATGGCAGCTCAGACTTGTACTGAAATAGTAGGGTATATTTTTTACAGTATTATCTTATTCAGAAATTGTTGGATTTTCTTTGAAGAATACTGTGTTTATGATATATACAGTGTGTCTGCAATTTAAATCACTGAATACGCAAGGATTCTATGTAACGGCTGTCTGTCACTGAGGGCATACCGTATGTTTGATTATAGCAGTACAGGTAGAGGTCAGAAATTTCCAGCTGCAAACTTCTTAGATGTGAGTTGTCAGCAAGACAAATAATAAAAAGGGAGGATATGGCAGATTTTGCTCTCTTAAATTAAGCTAGCATTTCTTCTGGAATGAGATGGAGTAGTGTTTTGCGGAGGTGGGCGTCCATAGGTACAGCAGCTCGCGGAGGAGAGACTTTGAGGAAGAACAGGGAGTAAGGGAGTGCAGAGAGAATACTGCTGTATGCGAATCATTACTAATCTTTGTGTCTCTTGTTCAATTGTTTTAGAGCTGATAGATATCACGTGCACCCTGCTGCTGCGGAACCCTGACTTCACCACTGCTTGGAATGTGAGGTATGTTGCACTCAGCAAATGACATCAGAAAGACCTGGGCCTCATGCTGGAGTCAGCTGTAAGCTTTAAGTGGTAATTAGTGACAGAGCAAGAGCTTTTCAACTAAGGAGTGCTGAAGGAATGTTAAAAATCTCTTCCCTCCTCTATGCCTTGCAGGTAGTTTCAGGCTGCCTTTTTTTTTTTCTTCCTTTTTTTGTTGTAGCGCAAGCTAAAGGTTACATTACTGCATGTGAAGGCACATGTTTCACCCACATTTTTGCGGGATGTAAGTCCCATTGAACTGCCACTCCTCTTTCCTTCTGTCAGTTAAGGAAGGCCGTTTGTAACGTTCAGATGGGCATATCCTTTTCACTGAATCACATAGTGCCCAACTAATGTCTGCTGTCTGTCTTCATTATTTTCATTTTATCCCTCTTTGAATATTATACCTGCGTCCTTTTGCGATAACAGTTCAATTTCCTGCCATTACCAGTGCAGCTCATCAAAGCTGAATAGCCTTCAATAGTTACACTGCAAGAGAAGGGGAGGAAGGTGGCTATCTTATTCTGGATACATTCTCCCCCACCCTGCTCCTTTCTTGTACCTGGGATTAATCTAGCTTCACTGTTGGTCGTGCTGCAGCACCTGTCCAGGAGTCATTATGGAGGGGGAGCTCATAATGGAGCCCGGAAACAACAGTTCTTTACAACACTGTAATCTGATAATTCTTTTGTAAATCTTAGAAGTGGGGAAATATTCTCTTTCTACTGTCTCGCTAAGGCTCGAGACAGTCTTAAAGGAATAGTTCTAGAAGGGCTGGAGGGCTGACAGAAAACTATATGTTAGAGTCTAGGGCTCTCATTAAAAATAGGACTTTTGTAGTTAAGGTGCATTATTGCAGTAGGAAAAATTAACAAAATGACCTAGAAAGATGATGGATGTGGGTAGCTACCAGCCCTAGATATGGCAAATTCAGCTTTTTTTTTTTCTTTTTTCTACTGCTGATACAGTTTTTAAGGATTTTGCTGTGATCTGTATCTTTCTAGAATCTCAGGTCTAAGAAAGGGGGATGAAAGTGATAGCAAAGGGATTACTGTCTTGAAAATGCATAGCTTGAGTAGCTTTCAAGTGATAAAATGGAATTAGGAGGATATGTAAGAACCAGAGCTACTATAGTAATGTAATCTTGTGTTACTTAAAACTGAATTTGGGTTTTTATTTTAGGTTTTATGGATTTTTTTTTTTAATTCAAATACATCCATCCTTATCAGTCTGGCTTTTTTTTCTGCCTGACAGCTGTAGGAGTTTGCTCTTATGTACATGAGAGGAGTAGTTTAAAGTTGTAAATAGAATTGAAAATGTTAAGGGATATAATTGAGGATTATTTTCTCTTCTATGATGTCTATGATTTACCAAAGTACACAAATTACTACAGAAGGTGAACTTGCTCCACAAATTCTTGGCCAGTGACCTGGTTGGCAGCCTGTCTTTGAAGCTCTGTTTAGCAATCAGAGAGAAGCTGTTGTTATACCAGCCAGTCAGAAACTGTAGAGTTTACCACTGAGCCTGCTCTAGCCAAGGGACTGCTTTGCTGAATCTTACCCTACATCATTTTAGGCTGTTTCTGGGGGTTTGCTGTTTTGAAGGGTAGGCAGGTTGGTACAACATTTCAGCTTCTCTTCTGTTCTGTGAAATTCCTACTTCAGTAAATTACATGTCAGGCTAGCCAGATGTGTGGCATATTCAGTCACAGAGTAGAGAACAGACTCTGTTCTGCACAGGTGCTGGAGGTAAATCCTTATTCTGAGCTAGTATAAGCTGGGAACTAATTGTGTGGGACTTGCACTCTGCTTGCAGGAGATGATGGATGTGCTGTGGGATGATTGTTTTCATCTTACTTAGAGGATGTTTGTTGGCCAGATTCATCTACTGTTCTCCACACACAAATTCACTGCTTTATTTTAAGGGAAAAAGGTGTCATTGACTCCAAGTAGCCTAAAACATAGAAGTGTAATAGTTATTTACTGAATAACAGCCCTGCTCATAGTGTTTCCTGTAGAATTTAATGACTCGTTTTAGGCTGGAATAGTTCCTTTCCTATGTTGAATTCTCTGCTGAGAGCTTCAGAGATGGTGGTTGACTCAATAGCACTGAATTTGAAGACACAGGAAGAGGTTGGTTTGAGAGTGAGAAAAGGAAATCTGTTCCTTGGAAAGGAAACGGGAGGTGGCAGAGCAAGAAGACTGGAGTGGCAGTGTGGAAGGCTAGTGAGCATTTCAGCTCAGCTGACAATCATAGAAGGTCCTATCTGGTTAATGAAGCACAGGAGAATATAAAAATTCAAATGTGTTACCTGCTAGGAAAAGACTGATAATCTGCCTTGACTTTGGAGCTATTCTAAACAATATGCCTGCATAGGTATAACCTAAACCATGACAACAGAGTAAGAGCTAATTGTATGGTGTAGGAAGGCACACTAAAGAATAGGAGACATGTCACTTCTTAGAACTCAGAGGGAGATCCTTGTTAGACTGAATGGGCAACAAGATGTCTCCAGCTGTTAATCATAATTTCAGTTACCCTGTGGTTTTAGAAGTTGGAAAATCTTCCAAGTTAACATGACCAAAATCTTCATGCAAGTGACTGTAAGGGAATTGTCATAGTTGTTTTTGTTCGTAATTGCTGGCATGTACAATTGATCAAAAGCCACTAGGTAACCAAAGAGCTCTGATAGTCAAACTTTTTCCTGTCAGATACCAATGACTTCAAAGGTGTCAGCAAAAACATAAGGGAAGTCAAAATAATTTCAGATTATCTTTTATGGGAGCTAGAATTCTGAAAGCTGAAAAATTATCTGTGGTCCACATGGCAAAAAGTGACTAGAAATTATATATCCCGAGTTGGATGTTTGCTGAAAGAGCTTGAAAGATGTTTATTTGGGAGTATGTGATATATACTTGTGGCTGAAGTCCCCCACTTGTGATGGGAGGATCTCTCATTTGAAAATCTATGAAGCTAAAAACTGCTTTTCTACCACAGCAGTAGAAGTGAACCTTGTCTGTAATGTTCCTCAACTTTTCAAAAGAGTAAATTTACTTTAAGAGTAAATATGTATGAGCCTACTTATTTACAGTTAACGCTTTAATATAGAAAGAGCAATTTCTTCACCAAGAGTTTAGGTTTTGGGAGATAGGTGGCCTGGTAATCTAAATCTTTGTTAAATATGCACATACATTTGTTTTGAATATAGACTGATCTGGGATGCTTTTTCATTGTCCATGTGGTAAGTGGTTTTTACCAAAATGTCACCTTTTGCATTGCAGTAAAGGGGCAATTCCACCTGGTTGACATTCCTTGAATTTTTCTCTTGCCTGGTTTGCAAAAGTCAACATGTTGGCACTGAACAGTCTGGTCAGTCTGCTGCTCCTGGCTGGTAAACTTGGATTTCCTGTTGAGCACATGCTAAAAGCATCCAATCTGAAGCATGCTGGAACTTGATTCAGATAAAAACAGATGTCCCAGTAGTTATGTTTCTAATCTCTGCAGACAGTTCTGTACTGACTTTACTAGATATCAGAAGCAAAACTGCCTTATGAATTTAGTTAGGTGCTGGTTCAGTAGCAAAAGAAGGGTCTAGGCTCACATATCAAGATTTGTCTTGAATTTGAAATAATACGTGGCTCACTGTTAGCGTGGCACCATTAGCTTCGGACTGTGGGTATACAGTTCAGTTAAAGCAGCACAAGGCCAGTGTACCAGGTGGAGTCAATTTCCTACTGAAAAATTCCAAAACAGACAGAAAATGAGAATATGTGCTCACACTAAAGGAGTATGTCAATTTGTTTGTGAGACTTGGGCCATAACTTTAAAACCACATAATGCATTCTGTGTCATACTGCAGAAAGTTTTACTTCTTCCTGGATAGAAGGTTTTTTAGAGTGTATTTCCTGCCTGTCCCCTTCCTCCCCCCCTTTTTTTCTTTTTCTCAGAAAATTGATTCATCTGCTCTTCACCTACCAGTGCTTCTCTTGCTGCACCTGGTGCCATACATAACATTATGATGAACCATAAGTTATATATAAAAAAAACCCCAAACAACAACAAAAACCCCAAACAAACAAAAAACCCCACAACCCAAAACAAAAAAAATCCACACCTAACCCATACCAAAATTGGTTCTACTTTTTGCACTCTTAGTTTTTAATTGTGACTTCTGAAGATTCTGGGAAATTAATGTTTCCTGTCTGCAAATGGTAACTTTGGAACTTACTGTATCTTTAAGTCAGAGCCACTATCTGCTAGATTGGAGAATGGGATATGGAGACTAACGTCCTGGGAGTAACCAGTGATGGGGTGATGTCTACCAACATGCTTAGGACAGGCAGTAAGAGTTACAAAGCTAGAAAGAAGAATAGGTATGGGACAGGGAATTCTGTGCAAAGATGGCAAGACAAATACAGACTTCTACTTTGGTCTGTCTGTGTCAGGGATGCTCTGGGGCAGGTTACATTGGAAGAGCATTTAGTTTTAGGGCAAGTTCTTTTTATTTTTTTTAAACCAAAAATTGTTTTACACATAAGTAAATCTAGCAATTTCAGCCTTTCTGTTAAGTTTGAAAAGCATTCTACACACAGAGAATATTTCCCACTTCTTTCTAAATTTAGGAATCCTTGATACTATATCTTGAGCCATATTTAAAAACTAAAAGTAATTGGGCAAGGGCGGGGGGGAGGCTGTGTGGATGAGTAACTGTATTTTCAGATGTGATCTGAAAGGCTTAATTTCAAGAAGGAATGTTTAATCATATAGGTAACCATATCGGCAGCCCTTGTATCATTGAGAAGACAACAAAAAAGCTGCATGTATTATTAAGATGCTTTTAGAGTATGCAGATAAAAGCAACGTTATTCTCAACAGGCATTACATATAGCCCAGATTCCTTGGCTTTCTGATTAATAACAGAAAATGTGATGAAGACCAACACTCAAAAACAGTTGACTCTGTGATCTCTGGGTAGGTTTGGGAACCAATGGGTTCTATGTGTTCAGATTAAGATAAAGTTCTTTGATCTGGTTTTATTTTATTGGGCCTGGTTGAATAGGGTGTGCATATATATATAGCAGTGTGGAATGGGTTAATCCATCAAAGGCTTTTTAAACTCTTGTAGTTTGACAGTGAAGTTCTATGATGATGTAAAGGAAATTCCCTGCTATTCGTTGTTGGGTTTTGTGTTCGGTTTTCAGGTTACTTCTTATATTCATACAAATTTATTTTATCTTTTGTAGGAAAGAATTAATACTGTCTGGTACTTTAAATCCACTTAAAGATTTGCATCTTGGAAAACTGGCGTTAACCAAGTTTCCAAAGAGTCCAGAAACATGGATTCATAGGTTTGTTTTCTTTGCCTTCTCTTGCCTCCCCAAACTTAAACATTTTTCCTAGGGTGTGCTTGGGTTAAGGAGAGCCATAGATGAAGGAGGACAGTTAGAAATATAGCAGATTCTTTGAGCCAGTCATTGCAGAATACCATGCTTTGGCTTTTGAAGACACCTGCCTATATTTTATACTTAGAACTATAATCATATGCACCTTTTTTGCTGCATTGTCATAGCTGCTGCGTATTTTTTAATAAACTTCAGAGGTGGGATGAATTTTCCTAAAGGTTTATCATGTCTTGCAGCACCTAAAATTCTCAGCCTGAGAATTCTGATTCCATCCATAGTAAGTATTTGAGCATTGTGGGTTTCTCCCTCTTTCCCCCCTCCAACTTACTACTGTATTGGTTGTCCACAGGTATTTCAGAAAGACAAGAATCTCTGAAAGCTAATCTTTATAACCAAAGTTCGGTTCTTTTCCATTCCAATACTGGTGGTTTTGGTTTGATGAATTTATTTTTATCATTTCTAACTTAACCAATGTCATTAAGTCACCACTACTAAGTATTAAAATAATAGAGTACATTTTTGGAAAAGATAACTCTAGAATTACTCAAACACACAAAGCTAACCATCTCAGTCATGACTTGAGTGTATGTAAAATGCCTGTAGCATAGCCAAGTGAAGTACAGATCCATTGCTCAACTTTGTTTAAAAAAAAAAAAATCTTGGTATGTGTGGCTTGGTTGTTTTAATGATGTATTTTTCACAGGATAACTCATCCTTTTATAGACAGCCTTAAAGAGATTTGAATGTTATACATCAGTGCAGTTCACAATGTTCCCGTTTCACATGTCCAGCATTAGGACAACTGTAAAGTTGCTACCCCATTAGGGGATTCATACTGTTTCAAAAACATAAATAAAGCTTCAGTCATACTGATAACATATGAATTTTTGGAAGCGGGATTTGTTGGTAAACTCTTCTTTGTGAGTGCATGAGCGTAAAATTCTCAAAGTTAACCTAGAATGTAATACATGGAATATTCCTAGGTGTTTCTTCAGTTATAAGCATCTACTTAATTTCTGTTGATTTCTTTCTTAGTAGCATTGATATAGCAACAACACTGATGAATTTGTGCAACATTGGTTTTTAATTTTGTTGTTCAACTCCTCTTCATCATCTCCATGCTACTGACTCCTGCTGCTTGATTGCTTTGTTTCAAGCAAAAAGAGTATGTAGAAAAAACGGGGAAAAAATCTTGCAGTTTGTCATAGTTTAGCCTTTCCTACATGGTAGCTAACACTGGAAAACTATGATTTTTCACATCTAACTAGTGCTGAACCCAGTTCCATTCATATCATTATGATGATCAATACATTTTTATTAAATTAGTCAGAATTATAGGTTCTTAATATTTATTTACATCTTAGAAATAATAAAAAATTTTGTCTATAACTTCTATGCAATCCTAAACTAAGAGTATTTTAATAGTGTTACAATTTGTTGTTCTTTGTCTTCATAAAACAGAAAAGTATATTTGAGGATGATTTTGTACAAATGTTTGGCACGGATTTGGATGTGCTGACCATGATTGATACATGTTAGAAAATAAAATGTACAAAAAATTTTCTTTCTGCATCAGCATAGTGATTAACATTGTGTTTTCTGTTCCCTGGTCATGCCAAATCTCAGACAGAAGTGCAAAAAAATAGAATGGGGCAATTATAAAATTCAGTAAAACATGTCCAAATTTTTTTCCCTTATACATGGCAGATACACTCACTAAAGGTAATAAAAATTCCTGTCATACATTTTGCCATATGGCGTTTTGCTATACGTTTTGAGGGATTGCAGATAGATCTTGTGCATATACAGCCAGTACATCTATTAATTGCACAGTTGTCACTGAATGATCTTGCATTCACTTGTGGTACTTCCACGAACTGCAATAGTCGGATTTCTTTTCTCCCAAATTTGTTGGAGAAAATGTTCTCTTAAAAACCTCTGAAATAATACCATGATATTCAACAAGTACCAAAAATACATTTAAAAAAAAAAATCTTCTGAGGTTGTGCTTGTCTTTTCTCCCATGCAAAAAGTCTAGAAAGTAGCTCAGATTTCATTTTATATCTTTTTCTTTTGTTGTAGCCACAGCTACTGTAAACTCTGTATTTTTTTACATGCCCCTGTATTTGAATTCCTTGTTTTATAAAAACACCCCTCATTTTAAGAAACTAAATAATTTTAGTATCAAAATAATCTTTTTATGGTGTTACTCAGAAGTCAGTGTTAATGAAATAATACTTATCTTTTGCTAAAAGAATGACTCTACTCATTTAGCTTTCATGCCTAGAGATTTTTAGAATTTCTCATTTCTCACAAATCTGCTGATTGAAGTGAAAAAGTACTAGATGGTGATGTTTGGATCAAAGACATTTTGAAGAAGCGAAAATTAAGTCTTCAAAATTACTACATTTCATAAAATAAAGTTACATGACAGTCAAAGACCATGGTTTTTTTGGCTTTACATCTGTAGTTAAAAAAAAAAGTTGTAGAGGAAGCCAGTGTATGAACACTGGCTTTAATCCACTGCTTGTGATTTCTGCTAAGAAATGCAGTCAATTTAAAAAACGCATTCTTGTAAATTATCTTTAATATAGTCTTCCAGTAGTTTAAATCTTTTTTTTTTAAATAGCTAAGAGAAAAAGACAAAGTATAAATGAAAAATACCAATGAACAAGAATATTATAAATGTTTTCAGATGAGAGAAAGAGCAGGTGGGTTACCACTTATTTTAACAGTGGTTGGCTTATCTTCTTTTTATATAGATGCAATTTTATATATGAATTGCAAAATAGAATTCTATTTTTAAAGAAAATTAATTTTTTTTATTTTATTTATTTCTTTTAACCAGGAGTGACAGCTTTCTGAAAGTAGCAATTAATTGGTTTTGGAACTGACGTGAGCCAGTACGAAACAGGAAAACCTCTGTGTCGCAGACCAGAGAATGTCCCGCTTTCCAGCTCATTCCACACGGGCCCATTGCAGTCCTCTTGACACATGCTGCTGCTTGGAAGTCTACACATCTGTGATCCATTTTTGTAGGACCCTTTTGTGTAGGGTCTGCAGGTGCATGTTTTCTGCAGCATTGAGGACACCTCTTGAAATACTCATCTAAAACCACTGCTAAAATACTACTAAAAGTCCAAAGTAAAATTAAAAAGCCATGTAGGAATCAGTGTTTATCTCAGTCACTTAAAATCAAATATGTATAATTCAAGAATAAAACCATCTGGTTTGGTTGTAACTATAGCCCTTGAAACTGTCAGTCTTTTGCACTTTCTTTCGGCTGGTGAGGTACAGAATCTAACTTGGTTTGCTGTGTGCAGTACTGACAAATGTAAAAAATACTCGCAAAGCTCAGTTAATTTTTTTTTTTAATTAAAACACTTTTTTCTGTCCCGTCTTGGATACTTTAATGCTTTAGAAGTTCTGAAAGAGGAGCTCATTAGAAATCTTAGGCAGACATTTCTTCCTTTTTTTTCATAAATTTGCTGTTTCCTTCTGTTTTCTTTTAGTATCCTGCAAGTAGCCATGACCACTTACAGCAAGTGAACAAATTAAAACAGCTAGAGTTAAATAATTTTGGAGTATGATCATGCAGTCATAGCTTTCATTATGGGAAGAGTTCAGATGGTTATGTTTACTACTTATTTATCATCTAGTTACAGTGTAGTTAAGGTAATTGAAATATCAGAAAGGTTTGATGATTTGTATAGATGAAAAAAAATAATTCTCTTAAAATTGCTCTCTCACCATTAACACTGTACATCATTTAACCAGACGATGGGTGCTGCAACAACTAATTCAGGAAAACTCCTTGCCCAGCCATGTGACTAAAGGAAACTTGGGAGCAGCACCCGTGGAGAGAATTCACCGACTAGTGCAGGAGGAAATGAATGTCTGCTCTGAAGCTGCTGGGAGATATCCAAGCAACTACAATGCCTGGTCCCATCGCATCTGGGTTTTACAGCATTTGGGAAAGCTGACTGTCAAGGTATAATACAACAGTGAATAAAATCTTAAATTTCCTTGTCTAAAAAAAAAGAAATAAAAATACTGGTTTGCCAAGCAGATTCTATGACATGGATGGAGAATATCATGTTCAGTCAGCATACGTAGCTAAGAATCTTTTAAAAAAACAGGCCAAACATTGCAGTGAGTACATTTCGCATTTTTCTTGCCAGCATAGACAGGATCTGCTCAGCAGAAATAACATATTTTTTTTTTGCCCCTATACAAAGTTCTGTTTGTCTGTTAGTACTTAGTGAACTTGTAGCAGGAGGATAGATAGGACGGTGTGAGCTGAGATAAAGGGGCAACTGGAAGTAATTCTTCTAGCACTAATTTTGAAATTCCTAATAGAGAAAAAGATAATACATATATTATTTTGGTAATGTAATGCGATGTCTTGTTTTGATACCCTTATTCAGCTTATCTGTGGTTTCAGAATATTGAAGGATTAAACAGTATCTTTTGACAGCATTTAAACTGAGGGCAGGTCAAGCTATTTCAGCTCTAGCAGGGACCTCTTAATGCAGTGGCAAATATTTCAGATTGCATGGTAGTGTCTAAAACTTTGAGACCTGCAGCAAATTGAATTAGTTAATGTGACATAGTCTAAAATTATATAGGCAGTTTTGTAATATCTGTGGTTTCTAAGCTGTTAGGTGAATTCCTTGTGAACATAAGGCCAATACAGTGACACATGACTCCTACTTTTAACAGCAGCTGCTGCATTTTACCGTCTGGTAAATACATAGGAGAGTGAGGGAGGAATTTGGAGGTTGCTGAGTTGGTATAGCCATTATTTTTATGTCTCATGGGCAAGCTACTGCTAGCAATGGATGCTGTTTTGCTGATGTTTCCTGTTAATTGTAACCTGAGACATTTTTAAAATAGCTGTGTCAGATTGGTAGTAAATAGCAATTATGTTCCAGATTCCATGAGGGAGACAGCCCAGAATTTCAACTCGTCTGCCTGGCGAGTTAGTATGAAAAGGTAGTTACGGAAAACTCCTAAGAATTACAGGGTTGGGACAGATTGGAGATTAGCAGTTAAGGTTAGAGGTCTATATTAATAAGAAGCATGGACTTTCATTTAAGTTTTTAATAGCTTTGTTAAAAAGAGAGGGGGGGAAAAAGTTAGCACTGTTAATTAAAACTAAAGTCAGTTTATGTTTTAGTTAACAGTAGTTTGAAGATCAGGATAACACCCTGAGTGCTTTTTGCACTTGCTATTCCTTACTAGTTTAAATAAACAGAAAGAATTGCATTGTGATAGAAATAAATCTTCTCAGAGCTGGAATTATTCTGGTGGGTTTATTCATTGGGAGTTGTCAATGCTTTGTGTGACAAATCACAATCATGTCTGTGAAGGAAGTGTTTTAAATTTGTTTGATCACTTCCAAGTCCATGTGCCTTGCCCACCATCCCACTTCCCCTACTGGTTTTCTTCGTAGGCTGATTACTAAGAAAGTGATAGTTTTCTCTAGTTTTCTCCAGCTGGCTTTCATTACCTCTGGCAAAATTTCAATGGTGCTGCTGTTCCTTGAGCAGTGTGTTTAACCCATTGGGAAATCTCCATGTTGAGTCCAGATTCTTTTCATGGCACCACCAATGCATCTCTTCAGATGGCCTAGCAGAAGGTGTTTGGGATGCAAGAAAATTAGGAAAAAGTGTAGAATATAAAATATACCAAGAATCTTTAGATAAAATTTGTGTCTAAGTAACTTTAAAGGGCAGAATTAGAAAGTGATTATTTGCAGGTTGTGATATGAGGGGAAAAAAACAAATACGAACACAGATGGAGGAAAAAGCAGACATTGCAGATTTTCACAAAAATATACAGGTTGCTTTCTTGCGTGATGTCTCAATTTGTCCCTTCAGCCATTTGTGTGTTTGAATATATGAAAAGACTGGTAAATTTCACTGAGATGTAAGACTAGAACTGTGCTGAAAAAAATTAGCAGATAAAACAATCACTGTGATTCTACAGCCATTTAGTTCTTGAAAAGTTGCCTCAAATTAGAGTACCCTGTATTATTTAGGGCCACATTTCTGCTATAATAGGAACTTTGCCTGTAGGTCTTATTACGGTGTACAAGGAAACAGATGCCCAGAAATATAATGTATATGTTGTGTTATCATTGAAATAGGACTTCTCAAAACAGGTTTACTATTTATGAAACTGCTGGCTTGCTTTGGAGGATTTAACAGAGTAGGTAGGGTTACTTTTTCCTTCACTTTCATAATCCTAATGCTTCTGCAGACTGAAACTCCATTCAAACTCTGGGAAAGAGATATCAAATACTAGAGGAGGAAATTTTTGGTCCTGTAGGAAGGTTTTCTCACTGGCTATAGATGTTTATTCTTTCTTACACTCAACAGTAAAAAAAATTACCTTGTTTTATTATAGAAAGTGTTTGAATGGTATTCATTAATATCAGTTAAGGATTTGTCAAGAATATATTGCTCCAAACCAATCTAATCTTTGTGGTATTGGACCACTTCCCTTGGAAGAGGATGAGAAAGCTTGACTTCAGCTCTCTCACGTGACAGTACAGTTAGCTAATGGGAGAAAAACATGGGCTCCAGACACCTACTAATAGGTAGGTGTGTAATTAGTTGGAGAACCAGAGTAAGCAGGTAATACCAGTATAGTCTGTTAAAATTCGTACACATCATGATGCTTCAGAGAAATTGTACAGGTACAAAATTGGATGTAGTTCAGCAAGGATGGACAAACTTTTTTGTTTTCTTTAGGTAGGAATACTCAACTTCATAATTACAGGATGTTTTGCTTTTCTAAGAGGTTTTCTAGTTCAGGTAAGGAGTGATGCTGGGAATCATTCTGTTTGCTTTGTGCAGGGAGTTAAAATACATAATTACAGTATTCCCCTGTAATTTTGTAGCTTATAAACATGTCAGGTAAATGAATCAAGTTATTCTAAGTTGGACATAATGTGCATAGTATCAGTTCTAGCTGAATAAAGACTGGTCTGATTTTTTTCATGTTGCCCTTAAACCTTATGTTAGTTTTAATAGGCTTTTAAATTTTAATGTTCAGAAATTTAAAATAGTAAGCTTAATTCTGCTGAGAAGAGAGAAGCTCATCTTGTGGTTTAAAGTGCAGAACTGGAGATGAGGGGTTTGGCCCCCTTAAGAATCCTGTGTGTGGGCTGTTATTTTATAGTGCCCTTCTGTTTGCTGATCTGTAAAAGGATGACGATGCTGGTATCTCTTGTCAAGACCTAAAAAAAGCATGTTGAGTATCTCAGGTAGAAGGTGCTAGTTAAGTCGTTTGTATTTGCTCTAATATCTTTTAGAACGGACGCACCGCAAAAAAAGGTGCATAACTAGTCTTGCACTGTTTCTGTGGTTGTCTTTGTGGGAGGCTGTGCCTCTTGTGCTGCAGGAGAAAAAAGAAAGCCTTGTGCCTATGAAAGTTGCTTTCCATCAGCCAGTCCTGTTAAGTGACGTAGGTAGCCTAGGTAAATACATTAAAAGCAAGAATATACCAGTAAGGTTATATCAAAAGTCTTTAGAAGTTGACAAAAAAAGGTAGTTTTGATCTCTTTGGAGAGTTTAAACTCCAGAGGAGGAGCAATGTGAGGAAAGAGCCTTTAAAGAAGTACAACCATTAGTTCTAATAGAGAAAGTAAATTAAAAGCTTTGCCCAGTAGTCAAAGTCACCTTTCTTGCTAGAAATAAATTTCAAAGGTTTAAAACCATTCAGAATTAAGCGAAAATTCATAGGTGCCAGCAGTGTTACAAATACAGCTGCAGTCACCAATGTAAGTATTTACCACAGTTATTGTGAAAGCCTTTCTGGGAGTTCACCAATTACAAGTCAGAAACTTAATTATGGACAAATAGTTTTGTATTCCACAGGTTCTAGGATGTGGAACATAATATTAGTTGTTGGCATTCTTTCCTGGAAACTGAAAGTGTAAATTACTTGAAATCCTCTTTTTTTTTTTTTTTTTAATTAAGCACTCACTCAACCTTTGACACCTATTAATGCACTAGGCAAAAACTAAAATACTTCTGATATCCATGTAGTTCAGTGTACCCTCTACCTCTGCCTGCTCTAAGTAGTCTTTATTCCTAACCATTTTGAGATTCTTACAGCACTGCTTACTTCTCATCATGAGTGGTTTGGGGTTTTTTTCCCCTTACCCTTTGGGAAGGTTTCCGAGACACCTACCTTTTTAGAGGATAGAAGAAGTATTGTTTCTTTCATGCAGGGATGCCAAGATACGTGTCAGCACACAGTGGAAAAGACTTGGGGATTATTTCATTTTTCCATGTGTGTTCTTAAACCAATGGCTCAGTGGCTGAAACCCCCAGAGGAGAGGTTACCTTAATAGAGAAACAGTGGTGGTAAATTCTTCCTTTATACTGGTTGATAACTGTCGCTGCTTTTTGTTTCAGGTTCTCCTTGATGAACTTTCATCCACTAAATATTGGGTATCCATGCATGTCTCAGACCATAGTGGATTTCATTACCGTCAGTTCTTACTCAAGTCCTTGATAGGCAGAACTGTGACTGACAATAATGTACTGGTACAAAATCAAATGGTAAATGAGCAAAACCCTAGCCTTCAAAAGAAGGAGGAGGGTGCAGGGGCAGAAGCTGCCTGCACACAGGAGCAGAGCGCGGATCTCCCCCGCCATTTAGAGGAAGAGTTGGAGCTCTGCACTGAACTGATTGATACTTACCCAGGGCACGAAACCTTGTGGTGTCATAGGTAAGAGGACTTGGTCAAAAGAGTGTCCTTCTGATTCATGGATTCTTCTTTGCCTGATGTTTCCAGACAGATTGTTCTGATTTTAAAAGGTACCACTCAATAAAAGATTTCTAAGCTACCATGTCTTAAGTGTTCGGCAAACATTCAAGAGCATGATCAGAGCTATTGAGTGGAAAATTTTATTTGGCTTGAGCACCACTTGTCCCTATAGTTTGTGCAAGAGACAAAAGATACTGTTAATCAGTCTCCTCACACTTAAAATGTTTAAAGGGCAAAAGGTGAGCAAAAGATAGGTAGAAGATGGATCAGCTGCAGAAAACCTCTGCTTTGCCAGCTGGGTGTATGTGCCTGACTAGGTAACAGTGGATTTGCCAAAGTGATGCTGAGCCCTTTTTTGAAAGTATGAGCAGGGACCGCAGATTTTGTGTCTGTTTGTGGGGGAATCTGGTGGGATGGCAAACGAACTGAAGCAGTAATAGCAGATTATTTTCCATGCATGACTTCTTTTTCTTTTCCTTTTTTTCTTCCCTCCTTTTCTTCTGAAGAAGGTGTGTGTTCTACCTTCAGCACCACCTAAGCAACAAACTTCCTCTTCTGAGTGCGGTGGTATCATCTGTGGACAGCAGTGATGAAACTCTGAATAATTCCCACCACGGTCCTGCAACAAGTCACATGGCCCAGGCTATGGATGTTGATGGTTTGAATGAATCCAGCAGCAAACAAGGTTATACCCAAGAAACAAAACGCCTGAAGCGTGCTCCTATGCAGGACTCTCTTGGTCCAGAAATGGAATACCGGTTCATTGATAAAGTATTATCAACTTGTAGGGATGTGGACCAAGCCAGGTTTGCTACTGCTTATAGGAAATGGTTAGTTACTTTTTTAGGTCAGTGAAGGAAGAGTTTAAAGCCTTCAGGGTTCTTCTTTTAGTGCAATATTCTCTTTTCAGACACAAATGCATGTCTTGGTTGCAAGTGTTAGCTAACCATGTGTTTCTCACTCTTCTAATGGTCAGTCCTAAAGTTCATATTCAGAGAAGTAGTCTGTCACTTTATTTATTAAAGAACTGGTATACCTTTTTATTAAGCAAATGCAGTTTGTTCTTTAATCTTTTCAAGAAATCACTGTGTGTCAGCTTCCTACCATGCCATTTTCTTAATTTTTAATTTGTTAACTTCTGCATTAAGGTGGACTCTGAATCATTTGGCTTTAGGAAAAAAACAGAAAAAAGTCTGAAATGCTTTTGAAACAGAGTGTCTGGAAAAAGAATAGCAGGATCTGTCAGTATCAGCTAAACCTGTTTCCAGGTTGTTCCTCATTACTGTAGTAACATCTTGCCACTATGTTATTGGATTCAGACTGTATTTGGTGAGTGGTATTACTTTTGTATTGGCAACCTTTGGAAGAACACCAGACTGCTGCGTTTCCTTCTCAAGGCTCTAGTAATGGTATTGGAGCCATGCCTTTTACTATTGCAACTGGGTTTTTGTTTGCTTATTAGTTGTCATATGAGTTTGATAGGAAAGTTTATGAAGTTGAAATCCTGAAAAGCAGATACAGGGAATTGTGACAGAAAATAGTTCAAACATACACATTCATACTCACAGCCAGAGCTGTATTTGGAAATACTTTCTTAGAACAGACTACTTTACCTTCATTTCATACTTGGTATTTATTTATTTATTTTATCTCAACAATCCAGAATTAATGACACTTGATACACATTTCTGAATGTATTATATACACTACAGAATCTCAGCCTGCTAAATCACACTTTGGTAACTCATACTTAACCAAGACCATGCAAGTCCAATAGATGATGGACTAAAAAATAATTATTCTGACTGGTCATATACAATTCAAAAAAAAGACAGCAGGAGGGAGCTAGCTCTTCAAGTTTTGCTCTTTGCAAAGCTTCGGTCTTTGGGGATATTATCTTTTGACTCTTCCTTAAGAGCACTTCTCCAACCATACATCTCTGTTTACATAACTGTAAATTTTAAGGGAATTTGAAACACATTTGTATTCCAGTGAAATTAAACATGAATGGTTTATTTTGTCATTTCCTTCAAACTTGTCTATATAAGGGATTTTTTTACACTAATGGAATTGTGCTGGTCCAAAGACCCAGGGGAGAAACATTGTACAACTGTAGGCGTTTGTACAATGGCAACATTGCCTCTATTCCAAACAGACTATTCACTGAGGGGATTAGATTTTCAAGCTAGAGTCTTCGCCAAAATTGCTGTATATTTCTCCTGCCCAAAGTGCCTCCTGACTGCGATAAGTTTCAAGCTGCTGTTTCTGTTGGGCAGAGAGAGCAACAATGAGGGAGAAAACAAACAGGTAGCCTGCTCAAAAGGTATCGTTTGGAAAGAAAAAAAGCACTCAAATGTGAAATTTCAGCAGTACTAGATAATTGGATGGATGGGGATTACTCTTGCATTTCAAAATTAAAATAGACCACCTCTAGTCTTAGCAAGTATGTTCATAACTCATGTCAGGCACAGAGTAGCTAACAGACATTTCTAAATGTACACTCTTCTGTTTACAGTACCTAGATAAGACTGACCTAGGCTTGAGCCATCTCCATGGCAAAGCTTTGTCTCAATGGGCATCTACACCTGCCTCTGTGTAGCTAGGGACATACTACGTGGCTGCTTGTTTTGAGGTGCTCTGGGATGCTGTCTTGGTTGATGGTTTTAGTTACAGATTAATGTAATCAATGTGTGAAGGAAGTGTGGGAATGGCTTGAGAGGATAATTTCACTGTAAGATGTTGTCTGACCACTGACAAATGGGTAGGTTCAGGTACAAACTGGAGTCTGAACTTAAGAACTTAACTTGAGCAACAACTTTTACCCATCGCAGAGGATGTGATGGGGTTTGAGTATGAAAGATACATAAAGCATGTGTAGTATCCTGGGTCAGCTTGATTAACAGCATCCCATTAATGACTAGTATGAACCTGGAAAGCATGAAGTCAGCTAGCAATGTATTAAGGATCACGTTTTTGGTCCTAGATTACTTAGACAGTTAGTAACGTAGTTGTGTGTTCTGTTTACCTTGGCAAAAATTACCTGTCCATGAAACAAATATTGGTGGCAGGAGCAGACTGGAAGATGGAAGCGTGATAAGAAATATGTCTTGAACTGTGGGACGGAAGAGATGCTCTCTTCTTGCACTGGAACGATTGAAGTTTTTAGAGGGAAAGATTTATATTAGAATCTGACTTGAAACCCATTATCTCTTTCTTCCAGACTATAATCTGGAGTTTTAGTTGGCTTTCTTAGAGCTATATTGTGGAATTACTGTGCTAATGAATTTGACAATATTTTCATCATAAGCACTTAAGATCAAACAGCTGCTTTCATATACATGTGTGCAGTTCCTATTCATGTCGACACAAGTTATGCATGCTTGTAGGAAGACAAGATTTGCTGCTACGTAACTGAACAGAGCTGCATTGTATTTTCATACTTGGAAGATGTTCCGAGAGCTCTGTTTAGAGACGGCGCTGATATTTTTATTACTATTACAAAACACTGATGACTGTAGTATGACTCTCTAAGTGTGGATTTTTGAAGTCTATGCCTGGTGAAGTACTCCCCCTTTTTTTTTTAATCCAGTGAGAATAGTTACATCTTGAAATGTTTGCAGACCAGACTCTGCCACACAAAAAACTAAACAATAAAACTGAAATTGAAACAAGACATGTCTTCCCCTTAGAAAGAAGTGCAAACAATAAGCTGTCAAAATCAAGCTTTAATTTTTTTCATGGTAACAATATAAATTGTGTAAAGGAAGAAAATACATAACTAAATTACTTCAAGCTGCCAATGTCTTGAGGCCTCTTACATGAAATGATGGAAGAGAGACTTCCAACAAACCACATTAAGCTCATAACTATGTGATGTTCTGGAACTACGACCTTTGGACCTGTCTAACCATTCAGTATTGCTGCAGAGTCCTGTTTGGGCACCACTTGGAAAAAAGAAAAGTGGCTTCAGGCCACTGGTAGTTAACATGCATAAAGGTTACTACAGCTACTTTAAGTAAGGTATTTTAGTCATTTTGTCTTTCAGAGGTCAGAATTATAATGTTGTCAATGGACATTTTTGCAGAGAAAATGTCCAACAGAAGTTGCAGAATACAAGGCTCTCACTCTCTGAAGTTCCTTCAAATATAAAATAAATGTCTTTGTATAAAGTTCAGCATCTTTACTGATCTTTTTTATCTTCTGCTGTAGTACACGTCATTTGAACTCATGCAAATTCTTTTTGTTTGTTGGATTAGTCTTTGTAGAAATTGCTTTGTGATAGAAACAAAGGGTTTTGAGGAACAAATGTAATTTGAAACTACAGAAATTAGAGTACAAAGAATCACATTTTTAAGGGGTTGAATTCTCTGCTGCTGAGTACCTTAACTGTTATTTTATTGGCGTTTGGTTTATCTTGTGTGTTATATTCACTGGAGCAACACATGCAGCATTAAAAATAGCTACAATAACAATGCTGCTGAATTGAGCAGGATTGCTGCCAGTGTCAGGGATTTTGCTGAAAGCAGCGAGGTCTCTTGCTGCTTCTCTCTGGCTTAGTCTGCCTTGCTGTCATGATACTTGGGCAAATGTGTGCATACACAGACCAAATTATTAGTGGTGGTGTTTATTCCAAGTGCTTGTAGGGAGCGTTTGAGACTGTGAAAGAGTTTGTAAGGTCCTGCAGGCTGGGAGAACGTGGAGATGCTCAGGCAGTGTCCTACCTGGGGGGATACCCTTCAGGAGTGCTCCAGGGAGGAACAGACAGGCATATTTTGGATGAACTGCTTTAGCATCACAGGAGGCTGGGAGGCTTGGGACGCAAGCTAGTAACAGAAATTGGTAGTTGATTACAAATAACAAGTAGTCTTTTTGGTACTTAATTTTCAGTATTTTCCTGATGTTATTTTTACAAAAATGAATCATTAAAAAAAAACCAAAAAGGCTTTCAAAGTTACTCATAATTTAGAATGCCTTCTGATTTGAAAGCTCTCCTTAAAGGGCTCAATTGTACTGGAAAATGCTAGCCCCTTTCCTCTCTCCACCTAGACAATGTGATTCATTCCAAATGTTCGAAAATGGGCACCTAAAATCATAGGGTGTTACCGCAAATATTGCTCATCGTCTTAAATGCAAAACTTAAAAAAGCAAGGACATGTTCTGCTCATATAGGTTTGGGTTTTTTTTCATTTTATCTTACTGGCTGCTAGAACAGAAGGTAGAAAGAGTTTGTAGGGAAGCCCTGAGTTGGTATGTACAATCTTGGTTTACTTAATTTGGGGGTTCATTAAGTCAGGAAGCTTAGTATGAGCAAGTAATAAAGACTCCAGGTTCCCTGTACAGAAATAATTTGCAGGGTCTGGTCATTGGTTTGTTTGTGATCCAAGTGTTTGATTTTTACATCTGTTAAAATGAGTGACAAAATTCCCACTGACTTCACTGACACAGGATCAGGCCATGCTGTGGAGAGGGTAAGAGCCACTACATGGTAGATTTAACATTTTTAGTGTGATGGATTGCAAGTGACTTCTTTGTCTTTTGCAAATGGTCATATTTATGGATCCAAGCTAAAAAGCAATTAGGGTAGTGTATATTCATTAGCACTGTGGTTGAGGAGAAAGTGTTAAGGTTGTGGAATAGTACAGGTTTAAGAGGGCAGCTAGAGAGAACTATAGTTTGGGAATTATTGCATATCGATTCCGTATGGGTCAATGCCTGAGATTTATGCAAGGTATTTAGGTACAAATGGTAAGCTTTTATGTGCCATGTGACAATTGATGCAATATTGAAGGGAGAAAGTCTTAATAAGTAGTGAATGGCTTAAGTTTAACTGTTCTCCAAGCATGCTATATACATTTATAGTGCAATAATAAACTGCACGTTTGTCGCCCTGTCATCTCACAAATGCTTATAACTAGGTAACAGCTAATTTCCCTTTTAAAATGCATCTACTTAATGTTGATTTGAGATGTTCTACAATTATTTGTTGTTATCTGGTACTAGATAATTTTTGCCACACCTTTAATCCATCTTCAGTGGATCCTAGCCAGGTATAGATTTTCATGGTTATAAATCTAGTTTTGCTGTGAAGGGAAGTTGAATTCTGCCCTGTAAAACATTCAGTTTTCTGATGTCTCATTAGAAGCATAGGAGGGCATCCTAGCACTGCTTTCCAGTTGTGCACACTGAGTTTTACCTTGTTTATCTCAATATTTTGTATTGCATGTTAATTAAATTTTTACATATCCTAGTAGTACAAAATACATTAAAAAAAAAAAAGAGCACCCCTACAGTCCTAACTATTCTATGCAGACGTCTTCCAAAATTTACAGGTACAATTTTAGTGGTGGTGGTTGGTAAATAGATTTTTTTTTTCACTTATTTATCAGCAGACGTGGTTTTATATGTATTAGTGACAGAATGGACTAAGCACAGCTGTAAGTTATTGTATTTCTGTAGAAAATGGAAAATAGTTTAAAATCATTTTTGTTAAATGTTGGCAGTTTTTAAATAAACTTTTCATCTCCTAAAAACCTTTGTTTTCTGTGACAACATATTTACCCTGGACTCCCAGTTTCATTGTTTCTTTTAACAGGAGCTGCATCTTCTCTTGTGAATTTAGGTGATGGCAGCAGACTAATTTTATGGTCTGTTTAAACACTGGCAGTTAAGACTTTCTCAGACACAGTCCTACATCTTTTGTTCAAGCTTAGTCTCAGAAAGGATGGAGATCAACAGCACCCCTTCTGTTCTAAGAAATTTCATTCTGGCAGCAGACGGCTGGCTGTCTAGAGTCACAGAACTTGGACAGCTAAGTGATGCTCATGTTTCTGATACTACTTTAAGTTTCAGCATGATGTTTGGTGATGTGCTTGCCTCTTCTAAAATGTGGAATCAACTGGAATAGCTTGTGACAGTCTTTCCAGGGTCCATACAATTTCTGTGCTGTCATAATTAAAGGGCAAAGACTTCATGGATCTTAAAAGCAGGTAACTGCCCTCCTATGTTCAAAAAAATATACTTTGATTCATATTAAAGATAGATGTAACCTTCAGCTAAAGTTAAGCTAAAGTAAAACAAAGAGGGTACACGTAAACATGATAGTTGGCTACTTCTTCACAGCAAGACTAACATTTTTTTTTTAAAGGAGCTGTGCTGTCAGTACTTGCCTATACTGGTTGGGAAGCATGTCTGTCATCTTTAACTCTCTTAAGAGGAACAAAAATGTAGATCTAGGATCTTATCTTCCTCCTGTCTTCCTTCTTTGTGGAAGATACATTTATGATCCTATGTACATATTTTGAGGAGGGATGAAGTTTCCTCACCAAAGTAATCAAAGATCCCATTTCTTTAGTGACAGCCATAAGCCTCCCTTTTGCCTTAACTTGGTTCATGGGCTAATGCCAGAACACTTCTCAACAAAGCCACCCACTGACCCCTTTCAGTCACTTTTACCGCCCACTCTTTTCACCTCTCATTCAAATGACAGTCATCCTTAAACCTGACCCGGCAATCTTACTCTGCAAGAGGAAAAAATGTCAGTGCATCCTTCAAATCTTCTGGGCTTTACATCTCATTTGTCACTGCCATCTACCATTTGGTGATCAGCATTTAGGCATAGTCCCCCATAAAGTGAAGCTTTTACAAATGGAGGATATAAAAACCCCAATGGAATGCACCCATGAGTGCTGAAGGAACTGGCAGACGACATTGCTGAGCCACTTTCCATCATCTATGAAAGGTCGTGGAGAACAGGAGAGGTGCCTGAGGACTGGAGGATAGCCAATGTCACTCCAGTCTTCAAAAAGGGCAAGAAGGAGGACCCAGGGAACTACAGGCCGGTTAGTCTTACCTCTGTGCCTGGAAAGTTGATGGAACAACTCATTCTGGGTGTCCTCTCCAAGCAAGTAGATGAAAAGAAGATCATCAGGAGTACCCAGCATGGATTCACCAAGGGGAAATCATGCCTGACCAATCTGATAGCCTTCTATGATGGCATGACCGGCTGGGTAGACGAGGGGAGAATGGTGGATGTTGTCTACCTTGACTTCAGCAAGGCTTTTGACACTGTCTCCCACAACATCCTCATAGGGAAGCTCAAGAAGTATGGATTGGATGAGTGGACAGTGAAGTGGATTGGGAAATGGCTGAACGACAGGGCTCAGAGGGTTCTGATCGGCGGGGCAGAGTCCAGTTGGAGGCCGGTAGCTAGTGGAGTTCCTCAGGGCTTGGTACTCAGCCCAGTCTTGTTCAACTATTCATCAATGACCTGGACGAGGGGAAAAAGTGTACCCTCAGCAAGTTCGCTGGTGACACAAAACTGGGAGGAGGGGCTGATACGCCGGAAGGCTGCGCAGTCCTGGTGGATGACAAGCTGACCATGAGCCAGCAGTGTGCCCTTGTTGCCAAGGAGGCCAATGGCATCCTGGGGCGCATTAAGAGGACCATGGCCAGCAGGTTGAGGTAGGTTATCCTCCCCCTCTACTCTGCCCTGGTGAGACTGTGCCTGGAGTACTGTGTCCAGTTCTGGGCTCCCCAGTTCAAGAAAGAGTTCAGAGGAGAGCAACTAGGATGATAAAGGGACTGGAGCATCTCCTCTATGAGGAAAGGCTGAGAGAGTTGGGCTTGTTCAGCCTGAAGAAGAGAAGACGGAGAGGGGACCTCATCAATACATACAAATATCTTAAGGGCGGAAGTCACAAGGACAGAACCAGTCTCTTTACAGTGGTGTCCAGCGACAGGACAAGGGGCAATGGGCACAAACTGAAACATAAGAGGTTTCAGTTGAACATGAGGAAAAACTTCTTTACTCCGAGGGTGACAAAGCACTGGAACAGGCTGCCCAGGGGGGTTGTGGAGTCTCCTTCTCTGGAGATATTCAAAGCCCGCCTGGATGAAGTCCTGTGTAACATGTTCTAGGAGAACCTGCTTTAGCAGGGGGATTGGACTAGATGATCTCCTGAGGTCCCTTCCAACCCTTGCGATTCTGTGATTCTGTGAAAAGGATCTTTCTACACTGAAAAAAACAGACGTTTCTGAACTTGATCTAAACAAGCAGGCCTATTCCTGGGCCAACTTACTTTGATAAGGAGGGTGCTCCATTTTCAGCATACAGAGTAACACACTTGACATTTAGAAGTTGGTTTATCTCTATGCTTCACCATCACCTTAAAAAACATAACAGACATCGGATACATTAACAGCTCCTATAATTTGAATGAATGCAAATATTAGCATAAACAAAAGTCTAGGCAGAGCACTGTTTTTCATTTAGTCTGTTCCTTCTGTGTTCTCAGGGAACATAAAGACTATTTCAATTTTCCACAAGGCTTCATCATCCCACTCTACTCATCATTAAGCCCCACAAATATCCCCGACTTCCTCTGTGACAGCTTCTCTTGTGTTGAGTCTGCCAACCCTTGTATATCTCAATTGCTTCATATTTCAGTAAAAACTGTTGACTTTTTTTATTCTTATATTTGCCCCTGTCGCCTGAATGCAGGCCGCCACCTCGATGATTTCCCCATTGATTTGGAGGAAGTTAGTCTGGGTTGGCTTTCTGGGTTTGTTTTTATGTATTCACTGAGCTTCAGACAAGATGCTGACGCCCTCAAACTTACATTTCTCTGATCAGCAAGGCCCAGGTGTCATAAGTTATCATGAGACTGACACTTGAAAAGGGATCACATGCAATTATCGGCCACTTTAAAACAAACAAACAAACAAATCAGTTTCTCTGGCACTTCTCTTTCAAACAGCATATAAAGGAGCACTTCCAGTCCTGCTGGGCAGTCTGTTGTGGCCTAAGATGTAAGCAGTTGCAAAGTGCTCAAACAGCAGGTGTGATATAATGTGATATATTTTTTGCATGGGACACTGTGACATTTACATGCTTCAAGGAAGAAACAGTAAAAGATCATGCCTGATATCTGTCGCAAGCCTTGCCTTGAAAAAATAAGACTTGTGGCGTGTTCTGGAAGCCCCCAAATGCAAGTGATCCAGTAGATCCAGAAGATCACTAGCGGGAGGGAGTTCATGCCTGCCGGGGGTCCTTCATGGCGAGCATCCCCTTTTGCTCTCTCTTGGACTCCTTGGGACTACCAGTGGAAGTGCCTCAGCTGAGGTTCTTCCCACTTGCTGAAATGCAAAGCTATCATGAAGGATAGCAGTGCCAAGTCATTAATTTAAAACCTGAAACTGCAGGCAGGAGGCTGTGGTTTAAAAAAATGGAGCTGAGCCTAATTCTGGCCTGGTTTTGCCGAGCCATTGGGCTGATGCCATGACTGGTTTCTATGGCATCACATGCAGTGCTAGAAGTACCTGACTCAAGGAACCAGCCCACCAGGGAGGGCACCATTTGGCTTGTTGCTGAAGAGATGAAAAATCCCCATGGAGAAAAAAATCCAGACACCTGGTTAACGATACGGTTGTCTGGGGCTTTTCACATTCTGTAGAGCAGGCACTCCTACTGTCTGTGCTCCCTGTGAGCGTCTTTGGCTAGGGTCTTCCCCTACCTCACCATCAGATGGAACAGGCACTGACCCTGCCAAGTCCTACACTTCTTTCACCCTTGCAAACCACATGCCACTGCTGCCTTCTCTGAATTAGGATTTAAACTTGCTCGCGTCCCTCTCCCTGAGACACCTCAGAAACTGCGCTGTAATGGAAAGACAAAATGGAGGCAAAGCTATCAGCAAAATCACACTGCGAGAAGACACACAGTCCAGAACATCTCTTTTAACTTTTTTTCCTTGTATAGATGAACCTGAATCACAGGTTAGGCCTCTGCAGAGTGGGTGCACAGACAATGTCCTATCACCATCTGCTGCTAGGTCTTAGATGGGGAAGAGCAAGGTAGTGTTGAATTGTCCCATACACTGTGTAGATCTCACAAGCAGGTGAATTAACATATAAAATCAGCAGCAGCAGTGGAGCTATTTGGTGCACTTTGGCAGCATGCTGGCGGAGATTGCTGAGGGAAATAATTCAGGTCTGAATAGAAAGGCCTGGAAAATGGGAAGTCAAAGAAATACAAGTGACATTGAATTGTCCTTGCCAATAAGCTTAACAAAAAAGATATTCAGAAGGAAAATGCTCATGCCACAGGAGCTTTTGGTGAAGGCAAAGATAAGCCATTTTCAGCAAGACCTTATTTCTTATCTCTTGCCTGAAAAATGCCTTTGTACCACACAGCCACAAGGAGACAGTGTCAATGCCTGTCAATGCCACCAGGACTCACAAATCTCCACTCTTGGTTCCAGCAGCTGCAAACAATCAGGATCCTGCCAACAGGTCAGCCCCTCAAAGTCCCACCTATGAAGGTAGCTGAGAAGGAGTGTAAGGTAGGGTAAATCAAGTTAGTCTTCTCCAGGCTCCCTGTGCTTCCTTTCCCGCTGCTTGCACATGCTGGCTCCTGTAACCTACTAAAGATCTATCAGGGTAAAGCCACAAGGGCAGCTGGCATGTTTAATTTAACTTTTTTATTCCATCTGTGAGGTTCCTGATGTGTAAGTTTTGCTAGAGATTCCCTTGTGCACCTATATGAAAAATATGAAAAACCCCAATTGCATGTACTAAGTGCAAGATACTCTCTCTGAATTCATTGGCTTCAGTAAATACCATGTTCTGTTCAAGGCCGCTATGAGAAAAAACAGCCAAAGCAGTATGAAGCCAGGAATTTTACATAGATAAATTCTTCAATCTGATTGTAAAGTAGGGTGCTTTATCCTCACTACAGAAATACTTGTTATACTTGGAAAATACGTTTTATTTTCCATCACTGTAGTCCATTAAAAAGTCCTAGGGTGTTCATGTCATAGTCTGGATGGATATTACGGTCTGTAATACAAATGAGGGTTTCTCAAATTGTCTTTAAACTGTTATAGCTTTTTAGAAAAATATACAGTTTTGGTTTATTCAACAATTCTATATAAATAACCACTATCAGCTTTATTGCTTACCTATGCTTATGTCTAAAAAGGCTGCAAAAGCAGTATGAAAATGTGACTGATTCACTAGTGAAGGGGAAGGATGAAGCAAAATTCTCTACAGTCTGTAAAAAGGGGGATAGTAAATTTAAAGTGACCCTCAAGTAGGTTATACTTCTTTAGCATATTTCCAAACTTTCAAAACTGCCTACTTCCATGTGCTGTTGCTGAATTCCTCAAATACTACCATGTATCATGATATTATCCATATGGCTGATTCCTCACTGATTATTTGTTCCATTTTGTTATACCTCAAGCTTTCAAAATTTTTTTCAATCTTTGTGATTTTATTTATCTTGTGATTAAGTCTATTGCCTGGTATTCTGGAGGGCATGGCAGTTTTGCTTTATTATACCCTGAAGAGCTTTCTTCTTGCCAGCTGTCTATTTAAGGCCTCTTCATAGATGAGGCTGCATTCTTTATAATTTAAATTAATTAAATATTTAGTATATGGCCCCTCAGGCAAAGTAAACGTTTTGAAGTGTAACTAGTGATACACTGTCCCCTCAGTTTGTTATAACCTTAGAAAAGGGACAGCCTGATTTTACAGGCTATGGGTGGGCAGGCTACAATAACTGCAACCCAACAGAAGTGAAGTTTTCTGTTGTCATATATGGCATGCCTGCTCCAAAGCCTGGCCGATGGGATGATGAGAATCACCAGAAAATAAGATTTGTAGAAATGTGCATTGAAATTTTTGGGAACAATTACCAATTCTTGAAATAGCACTAGGAGACTTCAAGGGGTGTTGAATCCCAAGTAGTCAGAGGCTATCTTGCTGGTGTGCCATAAGATATAATCAAAGAAAAGGGAGAAGAAGCATTTCCAGAATAAAGCCTTTCAGATCTTCC